ACCACTTATTAAAATGGCCCTGCAGTTTTGGTTCTGTGTTACCCCTTCTCATGTAGCGAAAAGGGACTGCGGTGCTGTTAATGTAAGTCACTGACAGATATGTGACCGGAGGCACTACAGTACCATCTCCCTGAGAAGCGTGGGCTGGATTTACCTCTACTCTTTCATTAGCTTGCCCCCACCACAATTACACGTTGACACCATGCACAGTGAACAGAATAATTTGAACACTAAATACATTGCTGGAGGTCTCACTGAACTGCTATTAGAAGCTGTCAAAAACGCAAACAAAACATTTGTTATTTTCCGCCAAGTTTTTATACAGCCTAAAAACATAATGCCATTATATAAAAATCAATGGCCTACCCTTGCTGAAGAACAGCGTGTTCTGCTCTAATCAAGTGCTCTCTTATGCACGGTATAAAGTATTTTGAGAATGGCAATGGAAACATTAGGGATATGATTGCAAGTTATTTGTGAGGCATGGACTACTTCGGAAAAGGGTATCAAAGAACAGTATCAGAAGCTTTGGCCATACCAGTAGACAAAGGGGGAACTCACGTACCTTCTCTTCAACAAGAGTTAGGAGCACCTCCCAGCAAAACTCACCAGCGACCAGGTTAAAAACTGCAACACCGTCAAGACCCACAGATCTCGGCAGCGTGAGCTGTCCTAGTGCACGTAAGATTGTTTAAGGGCACCGCATTCACACCAAACCATATCACTCTAGGCAGGGTAACATACATTTCAGTAACAGCAGAAGGCCCCAGAAAAACAGGCCAGCTTCTTGGCCATGGCTAGGAAGAAGTCCCTGCTGGAAACAGGTTACTTTATCACTGTCTCTTTAGGGGTTTCTGCAGTGCCCTCCGTGACCCGCTCCAGCCTTACCCCTGCCCTCGGCATGGAAGCAGTTGGGCCATACGTTGGTCTCATCCCACTGACCAACTCCATGGTAGTCATGGCCCACAGTATGAAGGACGAGTTATTTCTGAACAGCACCAGCATAAATAATGATTTCAGAAGAGGATTAGTGGGCCTGCAGAAGAGTTTTAAGACCAAAGGACACAGGTAAGTGAGAAGTGCTGAACTGCAAACACAGCATGGAAGAGCTGAGGCATTTCTGAACATGGAACAAAAATTTCCAGAAATTAACAATTTCCCAAGGAACCAGTGCATTTACATGAATAGGCAGAGTCTTTGCAAGAACTGGGAAAGACACAAATCCCAGGGGACAGAAAAAGAAATCCAAAACCTTCTGACCCTGGGCTGTTAATGAGAACTGCTGACATGAGCAGCTCAGGTTCCCTCAAACTTGAGCTGGAGCTGCTAACCCAAGTTAGTCTGCCTCCCTTGCTATTTTAGTCCAATGCAGTTAACGCAGGTTGGTTAACTTAAACCTAAATGACTTTTTTTTTTTTTTCATTTTTTCATTGCAAACTTATCCTCATATAGTATGTTTCATTTAAAGCAACATTAGTATAGTAGGTAATTGGCAAGAAAGATGTCAACTTAAATTTAGGGGTTTGTTTTCTCCTCATGTAAAACATCCTCTTTTAAAGTTTCCAGTATCCCAGACAAAACAGCATCCCTTTTCTTTCCTGACTCATGCTCCGACTCAAAAACAATTGTAAGCTTAATACCTGAACACATAACGAATCATGAGGACCTACATCTCTCAGCACAAGATGTTTGCTGGTTAGAAGTCAAAAGGACATCAAGAGGACAGTCAGACTGGTATATTTGTCAATAAATCCAGCATCATAAAGCTAGCAGTGTGGGTTTGGGTCTTTTTAAGGCCTGAAGAATACTCCTGAAAATGCACTTTAACCTTAAGCAGAAAGAGCATGATAAAACTAGGTGTTACACATCTACCACAACAAACAGCATTAACAGAAATGATTGGAAACAACGTGGACTGGCCAAAACCTGAAAAACCTTTCAATTAGAGGTCACCTCGCCAGAAAGATGACAGAGCACATATGCAAGACAACTTACCTTTTTTAGGTTAAGAATTACCTCCAAGCGATACAGCTTAGTGCTCTCTACTAAATACAGGCCTACATAAAAACATGGATCGTTTCTCCTTGAGAAGTATCAAAATAGGGAACAAGTTTCAGCCAACAGCCTGCCAAGGCTGCACAAGGAAAGCATTCACCATCACAAGTGCAGAAGAGCACCACCAATGAAAGGTAGCCTTTTCTGCTACCAGCATGAAAACTAGCATAGTAGATGGTCAGCATACCAAGCACTGCAAAATTAAGCCCTGTGTGTACACCATATTTGTAATAGCCTCAACACTCTGGCACAACAAATACTGCGTTTCAACAGTCTAAGAAGCGTGTTTAGGATTCACACTTACCCTGAGGAAGAGTTGGGCACCCACATCTACTCCAAGTCAGGATACATGTATTGTACCAGAAGCACCACCAGCATTCAAATCCCATCCAAGACTGATGCAGATAAATCCCCACATACTGTCTTCCGAAATGTTACCCATTAGATACCACTAGGAGGTCAGGACTAAACTCATAAGGCTGGCTACTTGCCTGTCATGTTCTTTGGTAGATTAGCTAGCCCATGATACAGGTACAAAGCTCGAGTTTATTTGGACAGTGCTTAAAACTGCCTGTGTACTTCACAGATGACCTGTTTGCAACAGTCTACTACTTTAAAACAAGCAGATTTCAAATATTTTAAACTTTTGATTTAGCAGGCATATTACTTTGCGTTTCAGAAGTTCACCATCTGCTGGGTTTACCTTTTAAGTCTCTCCGCACTCCGGCTGCGCAGCCATCTGGGATGAGATAATTTGAACAGCAGACTGTTTCCTCCCATGTTACTAGAGAGGAAGAGCAGCCAAGCATGTATGAATAAAGTCTATTTCATTCTTTCAAACAAAGGTGGAGGAGGATGATTTGAAAGTTTAAAAAAAAAAAAAGAGGAGGGGGAGGGGAAGAAAACTAAAAACGGCAACCCCACTTTCCGTCTTCAGAACTGCACCATGACTACCAGCGCTGAGTCACAGTTACTATTGATTATAAATAAGCAGGAGAGAACAGAGCCTGACTTACAGATCCCAAGGTGAATGTGTAAGGCTGGCAGCTAGAAAGCTTTTTCATTTGCAAAGCAAAAATGGGAGAAGTAGAACCAGAGCAAAACAAAGAAGTTCGGTCTACATCTGAGTAGTTTTTCCACCTGGAGGCCGATAAGGCATTAGAATCTCTTGTCCATCAACTAGTGCAAACCAGGCAATGCCACTGAGGTGAACTACACCTACATAGCACCTGAATAGACTCAGGAGAAGCCATGTCTTCTGCATTTTCTGTGGGAAAAATCTTCTAAGTTACCAAATGCCAGCAGACAGACACAGAATTATCCAACATCTTTAAAATGTAACCTTTCGCTACCAGGTGGCTTTGAAACAGTGAATCCCCTAAGCTAATTTTTCTAGAGTAAGATGCAGTCACCTCAAGTCCTTTGCTATTCAAAGCATCTCAACAGGCATACGAGGCACTGAAAAAGACTTTAAAAAACCCCCAGCAAACCTGCAGGTTATTTCTACATCGATCACAAAGTTTGCTTTGTTCAACATGGTAAAAACAGTCAGGAGTCGTGGCAGAAGTGGCAAAACTTAAAACAGTTGCACTGTGACAATTTCCGTGCAAGGTCCTCAAAAGGGAGCTGTACGACCATTTAAAGAAGAGGTAACTCTGCTCTACAGAAATAACACTTACTGTGTCATTGTCAGCTCTTTCTAAAATCTTGACAAGCCCGTGCTTCAGGCACGCTGCTTGTCTTGTTAGAGGGAAGCACCACAACATACATCCTACACTTTGTCAAAAGAGTAATTCTCACCCAAAATCATTGTAAATTTGCATGACAGCACAAAGGTGAATTTGGAAGCAGGCAACAGAAGGCTCCTAGGCTTGCATGCCTCCAACTGTGCATGGCTTCACTCATTTTGTAACAAAACTTTGGTAAGCCGGCCACTGACAGCAATTCTTTCTCCACCTGCTAAGGACGAGTTAACTCCGAAAAATGCTCATGCACAAGCATATTAAAGATACCCGTTCTCCACAGAGTTTCACACTAGTAGCCAGCCCTTTGAGGAAACTACTCATTGAAATAATTTCAAGTAACAGTAAAGGAAGGAAGAACAGAGATTACATGCTCCATATACAGTGCTGGGGGACCAGAGAGCAGAGACCCAGAGAGCCCACTGTCCCACAGATCCACATCCGGCTCATCCTGGTCTTCTCCAGGGGTGGGGCTCAACTCTCAATCCACATTTCAGCATCCAGTCTTTCACTGCTCACAGACAAAACCATAAAACCTCCTTGCTGAAATTCTCTCAAAAGGCAAGTTTGAAAAGACAGGGGATTAGGAAGCGATCGATGAGAACGATGAGAACAGCAGCAAAGCAACAATTTACCCAGCAGGTAAAAATCTGCTCACTGATGATTTCTCTCTTACCTTTGTTATTTAAGTTCATCTACCCCCCACCATCTCGGCCTCTGAGTGCCAGCAGTCAGAGACCCTACCCAATCCAAAGCCCCCAGGGCGACATACAACCCCAGTGCCCCACACAGCGTTGGACTCCCATTCTCAGCAGATAAGACGATGTTAGGGAAAGTTCAAAACCACATACCTTGTAGTGCTGCAAACACTCACCAGGAGGAAGTAACGGAGACAACAAGTTTCATCTATTCCTTGACCCTCAACAAATTGAGGAAGAAAGACTGTAACTGTTTTCCCTGGGGTGTTCCAAGACAAGACCTTACTCCGAAGAAAAACAAGCTCAGCTCAGGACTAAGTGAACAGAAGTGCCTTGCAAGGAGCACACAGCTGCCTACAGACTAGACTTTTAGGAGCTGCCAAATCTTACCCCACCTGGTCTCTAGGCTGGCTGTGATCATAAGGAAGAGTAAACAAGTCATCTGGCCAGCTGTCTGAGGTACACAGAAACAACTGGACTGGATAAAGAAGACAGTTCATTTTTGTAAGAAACAATATATTTTATTTTTCTGACACCACAGCCCTGGCGAGTGGTTTTGTACCAAATTTAATGGAGGTTACACAGAACGTTTTACGCTGGGGAGGAAAAAAAAAAATAACCACAAAAAAAATCCTGGATAACTTTTAGTGTCTGTTCCACTCCCACATTAATAAAATCACTTGGGGTTTCTAAGAAAAGGAGAATAGGAAACGGTGAGAGAGACTACTGTAGTATGTAACAGTGTCCAAGTCCAGCCCCTTCCTAAAAGTGGGAAGAGTCCCCACATGAGGAGAGGCTCTCCTAGATTTACTCCCCAAAATAACACAATGTATTGCAGCTGCCATAGGAGGAGACAGAAGGGGGATGGAAAGAGAGAGAGAGAGAAGCCTATTTAATAAAGAGTGGGAGGGAGAGACAGAAGGTGCTGGACAGCACGCCATAATTTGAAAAATATGTCCTTAACTTATTATTTATTTCTTTTAAAAGATTCCCCTCACTGAACTTAAGTTCCTTTTTTGTGCTTTTCATTAATACTCTGCTCTGAGGTCGTAGTTTGGTTTTTCTATACATTGGAGTTGAAGGAAAATAGTCCAAAGTTCTGAAGATGGATTCTCCACCTAAAGTAAACAGCCTAGAATCCCATTCTCCTCTCACCCCAAAGACTAAAGTCTCTGCTAAAATCCCTTTTACAATATAGTACAGTACACAAAAAACCCCAAAAATAACCGAGAGTCCTGGGAGAAGCCAGTCCGAAGGACGTAAACATACAGAGAATGGTGCAACTTGTGACAAATGGCAATTCTCAAAATACAGCTACAGATTCTCAAAGCAGGTGCCGTCACGGGATACCCAAGTCCACAAAAATAATTTTTAAAAAATAAATCTTAAAAAAAAAACAACCTGTTAAAATGAATAATATTTTTTCAGGTAATTCCATACATTCGAGATTTCCCAAAGCGTCCTCTGGTCTCTTTTCACCTATTGCATGGCCAAACTGTACTCCTGAAGCTCCCAAAAAAGCCCTCAGGACTTGGAATCTCATCTTGACAAGGATCAGAACATCCAGTCTTATGGTAGCAGCTTAAAACATCATGTTCCCTGGGTTTCCAGGGCCTTGGCTAAATCCTCCCATGCCAACGTCAGCAGCCATACCTCGGGGCCTCATCTGTGGGGGAATCATGATGTTTTGTTGGGGTCCCATCATGCCCTGCATTGACATCATCATACCAGGTGACCCTACAGGGCCCGGGTGGCTGTACAGCCCTGCAGGGGCTCGGTCCTTGCCTGGGATCATGCCCACGGCAGCCACAGGGTTACTCATTAGCGCGGGCTGGCCAGGCATCGCTGTTTGTGCTGGTGACATCATGCGGTGGTGTGGCCCCATCATGCCTTGCTGCAGGAAGGCAGGCGGTCTCATCGGGTTGTGACCTGGCATGGATGGAGCCGTCCCAAGGGGGATATCCGGAGTTCCCACTGGCCCGGGGCCCCCCATGCCAGGCAACGTTAGTCCCATCCTTGGGGTCTGCTCTCCTATCATCCCCTGCATGTGGGAGAACCCAGGCCCAGGACCCTGCGGCTGCTTGCGGCCTGGCACCTCCCCACGAGGGAAATACTGTAGTGTCTGGCTAGGCTTCTCTGACGGGATAATCCTGGACAAGTCAAACTCTGGTATTCCCGTGGCTCCAGGACGGATCACCTCCTGCAGCTCTGGATCAGTGAAAACTGAAGGCATATTGTTTCCAAGAACAGTGAAGGAGTCTGGACCGCCAGGGCCTCCAGTCTTGCAAAGTGCTGGATCTGTCGAACTTTGGGGCAGGTTGGTAGGACGCCCCAGAGGTCCTTCTCCGTGGAAGCCCACTCCTGCTGGGACGTTGCCTTGTCCACCGCTGGGCCCATTGTGTGGAAATGGCACCTGCTGTGGAGGGGATTGTACGGGAGGGAACCCCTGTGGGAAGCCCAGGCGTCCTTGAGGTACCATTGGAGACTCCTGGGAACCGTGCCCCATCATCGGGTTGTGTGACATCAGGCCGGGTCCCACAGGGACCCCATGAGGAGGTATATTGGGTCCCATAGCATTTGGAGAGGGCATCTGGTTGTTATGGGAAAGAGGCTGGGTCATTCCCATTGGGCTAAGGGTTGGCATTGGACCGACTGGGTTTGGACCTGAAATTCGAGGATTCTGAGAATTAATGCCCATGCCTAGAGAAGAAATAAGGAATCACATTTAGATAACAGCCAATAATAATCAATAAAGCTATCAGAGAGGTTTCTGCAAGGTTACCAAGTCCGCACACACACACCAAAAAAAATAGAGCTAGTAAAAAAACATCAGTAGTGGTTCTGCAATGTTATTTTAACAAATAAATTTATTTTAACAAAAAAATTGATGCCACCTGCACAGCTGCCTCCGCAAGCTTGTCACTGCCCTATCAAAAAGTGACTAAAGCCTGCTCTGTAAGTAGGATCTCAGTCTCAAACCATAACTACTTCCCTGGCAGTCTAGATGACACAAGCAATAACAAATATGTCTGTGACAGATTATCAGCATATGGACACTTGTCCACTGGGAAGTGACTGAATTGCCTTTCAAAACTCAAGAAGGGATAAATCAGGTAACCCTCATAAGTCTAGGGGGCAGCAATCAATAAGGTTAATGAGCTATGATCATGAACTTATTCAATTAGCCAGCTTCCTCAGGTATATTCAGACACTCTGATCATTACTGCGTGAAACACACGGCAAAGCTACAGGTAAACTCATCAAGAATTCATTACCAATTGCTGCTCTCATGAAACATCCACTCATCACCCTCTTTCAACTATGTTAATTCAATTGGGTGGAGGGGCTACAGCCTACTTGTGTATTAAATATGTACCACAAACATTAAGCAGCAATTGGACTTCTCATATAAACATGCTCACCCACAAGACACAAAAGGCCATGTTTTATTTTACTTTTCCTTTAACTCTCTCAGGCAGTGACCAGTTTCCCTCAGTCCTGCCATTATACATTCTCTATACGAAAAGATTTATGTTTTGAGAAAGCGTCCTGCACTCTCTTCTGTAACAAAGGCAATTTACAAACCCAAGAAAAGACCAGATGATTCAGCATCAAAAAAACCCAACCAAACAAACAAAAAAAACCTCACCAACCCCCCCCTGCCATGTATCTTCTACGGCACTGCCTTATGACAGGGGAAGAATGGTTCCCTGCGGATAACACATTGTAGATCTGACCCTTATTCCCATAAGCAGCCTTCACTCATACAAGTAATTCCAGTCTGCCTGAGTGGAAATCTCTCCCATACATAAGGATTTTCCAGATTGGACACTTTCTGAAGAACAGACACTTTCTGGACACAAAAAAAAAAAAAAAAAAGTGGTTGCAAGGAGAATTTCCATTTCCCCATTTCAGAGAATTGCCACCCCCTTTCTCAAAAACAACCCATGGTTATATATTCTTCAAGGTTTTTCCCTCTCACGATCTTAATTTGATGAAGCTTCCACAAAAATCACCCTCACTGTACTGCCTGTTAGCTTGGGCTAACGTTTCTTTGAGTTTCTCACCTGGTACACTGTTCATAGGTGGCAAGTTTGGGGAGCGTGCTGGAGGGGAGTCATCATCCGAGCTGGCCACAGTTTTGATGGCATCATGATAGAGCGGTGTAGAGCTGGGCATGGCAAATTTGGACATCCTGGACATCATAATGGAGAGGGGATTCTGGGAGAGGGTCGGCTCTGGAGGCATTGTGTAAGGACTGCTAGAGGGAAGATTTCCAGGCAGAGTCACAGGAGCAGACTGGCTGACTGTGGAAGGAGGTGGACCACCTTAAGGAAAAAAAAAGAAAGAAACTTCAAATTTTTTTCCTCCTTACAATTTTTTCCTTAAATCCCACCCTCTTCTCCTAGAAATCTCAAAAAATAGAAATCCCTTTTACTGCAAGAGACCACCTGACTAATACAGTCAATGTCTATGAAAGGTAACCAGAAAAATAAGCCTATTGGTCAAGATGGTTGACATTTGTGATCCTGGATTCTGCACTTCTGCTAGAACTATCTTCAGCCTCTACAAATCCATGTAAAGAATTATCAGGCAAGTCTGAAAATCCCACTATTCAACTTCCATACACTGAAGACAGACTTAGGTACCAGATCTAGCCATAAAAATCAAAAGCTGTAGTCAATCAATTGTTCCTGCACCCACCAAACGTCCACCGTAACTCCTCTCTCTTTTTCTTTAGGAGGCATCAAACAAGCACAAAAGACACGGGCAGCACAACAAAAGCTGTAGCAGATATTATGCTAAGACATGTGAGCAGATTTCTGACAAGCTGCATCAGCAGCTACAAGTAAAATTCCCTGTTTATGTTTTATAAACAGATATTTACTCTTCATTCCACTTAAAGCAGAATTCTCTGCATCTATTGGCTTAACATCATCCTTTGCTCTCCCCAAACTAGAAATAACTGAACTACACTTCCAATCTTCTTTGTTCTTCAACAATGAATTTTGTGCCACCCAGACCACATGTGAAGGAAACATGCTAAACCAAAGTTGTACTGTCACTGAAAATTCACTGCACGTCCCTCAGCCAGCCTGCCCGCCCCCCCCACCCGAAGAAGGAAAGGAGAACAGAGCATACAAAAATCCTGCAATGCCAAAACACCTATGCTTTGGAAAAGCTGCACGTAAAAAGCGTTCATTAAGCACGACGTCAGGCACGGACTAAAGCACTTGGTTTGACTTGCAGGCGCCTGGGCTCACGCCGGGCACGGCCTCAGCAGCCGCGATGGGCACTACTGCCCAGGCTCCCTTCGCAAGCGCAGAGCCGCGGCCAGCAACCACGGCAGCTGCTGCGAGGGTACCCCCGCCGCCGGTCCCCCGGCCCCGGCCGGCACGTCCCGGCTGTTACCCGCAGCGGCACTAGAGGGCAACGTGGGCAAAGGGCTCCTCGTCTGCCGGCCAGGAGACCTTCCCGGGCGGGCTGCGGCGCTGGGAGCCCGGACCGGGGGGCGAGCGAGGGTGCTGCGGGGCGAGCTCCAGGAGGGGGAAGGAGGAGAAGGAGGAGGAGGGCAGAGGCGGCAGTGCCGCCCGCAGCCCAGAGACGGTCAGGAGCAGACAGGGCAGTGCCAGCACCTGCACCCCAAGGTGCCAGCCCCGGCACAGCCCCGGCATGCAACCGAACGCTACGTACGGTGGTGTACAGCTCTCCCCAAAATGGTTGAAGCCTGAGCAAATGCTAGCACACCTCCCCATCTGTGGTGGCAAACGCAGAAAGCACTAACCATACCTGAACCGTACCTACATACACAACTCACCAACTACACTCAGCACGTCTTCGTAGGAGCCTTTTATCTCAAAGCGTTTTCGTAACATCAGCAGGATCTTTTCCACAAAGCTGTGATCACCAGGAGCTATGGCAGAATGGCCAAAAACCCCTCTGAGGGGAGGCTTCTCCCATCAACACTCCAAATCTTTTCACACCTCTTGCCCCCACTCTTTCACTTTCACATCCTCTGAGCGACCAGGTCTCACCTCAACACACGGGAGGCACGATGCAAACCCACAAACACAACAGGAGGAAAAACGCTTGCATTCCACTCGCATAGCCACCCACCAGACCTCGGCACAGCCTCCCTCAAACAGGCAAAGCGCAGTCTAGTTCAGTCACTCTGCAAGAAACCTTCTCCCTCCCCTTTCCTGCACACCTCTGGGTAACCTGATGTGAACCAAAGAGCCTGGCTAGCAGAGGCAGCACTCACCCGACTCCACGTTCCCTAGCATGGCTGGAGAAGACATGGTGAGAGACGCCTTGTGGTTCGGGGGAATCCCAGGGCTCTGCAAAGGAGGCTTTGGAGACGAAGTCCATCCGGGAGAAGGTGCGGGGAGAGACGGAGACTTGAGGTGGACAGGAGAAGCAGCAGCAGACCCCAAGACAGGGGGGGACTTAATGGAGGCAGCAGCAGCTGCGGCAGTGGGGCCCGCAAGCAATCCTGCCAGCTGGGAGGGCGTCTGAGGGGACTTGAGGTTCCCCGAGGGAGACCCCATCATGGGAGACTGGACCTGGCGCATCGTGGGGGACTTCAGGGGGTTGATTCCTGGCGAATGCACCTGACCAGCTGCAGAGATATCCAAGGGCTTGCGGCCGAGGCTGCGCTGCGCAGGGGGAGCAGTGTTGAGGCTATTAGGGTTACTGGCGGGATTGAGAGGTAGTGGCGGCATGTGGCTGAGCCGGTTGTTAGTCCTTTGGTCAGGCCCAATCTGTTCTCTGAGATTTCGGAGACCGACTCCTGGGCCTTGAGACATGGGAAGGAAAGGCCTGGGACCCATGCCATACTCCTGCTGCGGGTGCTCCCCGAACGGCAGCGGCACCATTTTCTGCTGAGAGGAGAGCATCTCCGAGACGCCAGGGCGCAGTTTCATCATCTCTTCCGGCCCGACTCCTGCCTCCCTCAGCTTCTGAGGGACCAGGGGTGGGTTGGAGCCCATGCTGACATTCATGCCCATGTCCCCCTTCATGCCGCCAGGGCCCATCCCAAACTCCAGCTCCCTGCTAGAGGCCATTTGTGGGGGTATTCCTTTTGGGAAGTCCCCCCTGGAGGGGCTCATTGGCCCTTCTACCGGCATGCGAGGGAAGATAGGGTTGTTCCCAGGCTCCATGTGTCTCTGGGAGGGCATCATTCTGTTCATCTCCATGCCAGGCCTGATGCCTTCCATGTTCAGGCCAGGAGGGAGGCCCATCTGTTTCTCAGCCAGCTGCTGCTGATAGAGCTCTTCGGGCA